TTGATTTTGTTTAAATTTCTCCGTACAAGGAATAAAAATCGTTGATTTTAATATACATATAAGACTTGTCGTCAAAAACTTCTAACGAGTCAGACTCGCGACTGCACTGCAAGAGGTTAAGAAAGGCCCCTGCAGGCTCTGCCGTGCTGCCAGCGCGGTATTAGCGGCGTTAACGACGGAAAAAATCCGTAAACGAGTTAATAAACCGTGCATGGGGCAGTTCTCATAGCCGTGAATCGTGTCGTAACGCGTCGGTCGGTACGCTACGACGGGCCCGCCTTCCGTTTTCGCGTGGCTGGCAATTAGCATGCACGGAGGAACAAACGAGCGAGCGTATCGAGCTAATGCTTTCGATATATATCGATCCCCCGGCGCACGAATAATTATCTCCCGCTACCAGCGCGCGAGAGGGCCCCGACGACGCCTCCGAACGCTACTTTAAAGGCGACGACGGGACCCAGGGCCCCGGAGGCCCCTTGTGCCCCAAGGGTGATATAGTTGCCGACCGGGTCGGTTTGCACGGTTGCCTCAGCACTCTCGATGCGATCGCGTGGAGTAACTCAGGGACTGCCCGGCTGCTTCTTCCCCGGGCCCTAGGACTGAATTATGGCCCGTGGCCGCGGACACTCGCCAACACGCTTCGTCGTTTAACCCCTTGCCCGATCCTGAGCCCCGAAGCGCATTCCTCGCCTCCCGTCCTCTGGTTTTCTCGCGAACCCGTGGAATCTTACGATTCCCGGTGAGAACGCCCGCCGGCCAGAGTACATCTGCCCCGCGCGTTTGTTGCTCCTCGGCCGTTTCCTCTTCTTCGTCCTCGCCTTCGCCGGCCAGAGGCATTGAATCTTGCCGCGGGAATCGCGTCATGTTCGGTACAGCGCTCGTACGTACGAGTTTTTAGGGGATTCGCGCCTTGTTCCCCCGCGGGGAAACACGATACGGGCTTTTTCTATCCGGAGAGCATAGCGCAATGAGCATTGCATTCAACTTTGTACGTATCGATGGGCAGGCCATCCCAACGATAACTTTTTCCGCGGAATATTAACCTGCTACTGGGGTAATTTATAGCGTAACGCTAAACGCAAAACGCAATACTCTCAGAGTCGCATCGAGTCGCAGAGGGTTAACCAGCATCGACCAATATTGATCATTAGTCGAGGGCCTACAGTGTCGACCCTTTCAACATTGAATATCACTGCCCCGTCACTGTATATAAGTACCATGTGGGTGTGGATCGATCCTCAACCATTCCAAGAATTCTTTTCAATACGAGAAACTAATTCGAATTAACGCTGACCCCGAAAAGGTAGAAGCCAGAAGTTACCATTTACTTCGGCGAAGTTAAAAGGGGTATCCAGCACGTAAATTATTGTTTTTGCAAAAGGTACACGGCATCGGGAAAGAATTCCTTGCACAGGGAACTTAATTACACGCATATACCGCTTCGTGACAATTTGTTTTGCGTCGATTCTTACGACACTGTTCAATTATGGTCCGTGCGTCGTTCTTGCGACACGGATCCATAGTTACGACACGTTAACGAGAAATCAATCGACGCGCGTGTTGTAAATAATTGCAAATGAACAGGGAAATACGATAGCAAAGCTGGTACACGATTTATTTACTTTCCCATCGACTCCTCTTTACTTTGTGGATTTCGTATGCAAAAGCAGGATTACGGAGTTGATTCGTAGTCGTTGGACGAATAAAAATTTGTAGATATTCGCACGGGCACGGTTTCACTGATGACCGCTATAAATGGCCATTCGTGTACAGGGATAATTTCGGGGGCGGTCACTATGGTGACCCATCGTCGCAAAAGGGTTAAGTATGCAGGAGTTCCAAGGTTATCGCCCATTCAGGGCACCGACCGTGTCCGGAACAGTTTAACTTTGGTGATCGTATGGAAACGAATTCTAATTTAAATAACGTTTGTTTCACAATGAAGAATACAGCACGGTACACGAATATGATATTTACATCGATTATCGTGGTGTTAATGCATGAGCACACGCCGTCCATAAATATTGAAATGCTCGCAAAAGAGGAATATATAAGAAACTTTATTATATCTCAGAACTCGGATCAATATTACACTTTGATGTCATCAAGTACAGTCGTTTAAAGAAAACCTTTGGGAAAATTACATTGATATTCGTTGTTCTACATATTGAATACAATGCGATGGGACAAGAAAACACGAGCAACGTATTTAAAAGCATTTTTTTGTTCCCCTCGGGTCACGCTCCCTACTTTTTAAAACACCGGGTTACACGATTACATTAATCATTTACATAGCATACCATTAAACCTAAACAGCTACCTATGCTATAGAAGAAAATCGGTGCAAAACGTATCCACTCTGCGTCACGAAGGCCAACGTAGTTCTTTCTCAGCATATTTGGTAGAGATCCTAAACGAAGAATCAGTTCTCCTAACCCAGCACCCGTCTCAAGTACGCGGCGATCTATCGATCTACGAGTTCGGTAACCGAGGCTGTCGACAAACTCTGTTCGATCGATCGCGGCGGGTCGCGGTCGCGATTAAAATATCAGCCCGTGTAAGCCGCGATGGCTTACACATCCTCGCGCGCGCATTACCGAATCCGAGGATCGAAGGGCGGTGCTCGCGCGCGCGCGCGCGCACTATCGAGTTTTATCGTCGATCGAGACACAGAACACCCTGCCCCTCCGGGATCGAGCCAACGGTCGCGCGAGCCGCGGTTATAACAGCACGTGGTCGGCCAGGTTTGCGCATACAGTGATCCAGCGGCAGGCAGTTGGAGCTGGATGCGTCGCGAACGGGTCCAGGACACGCATTAACGCCCGGCTCTCGATGCCATAATGCGCGGTGGGTCACGTTTTTCGTAGCGACACAATGCGCGCGGCTGGCTTTCGACAATATGTTCCGGGGGCCATCGAAACGAGCCGACCGACGGATGGATGGATGGATGGATGCGGACGGGACGGATTGATGGCTTGGGAGCCTGCGGGGAAGTTCGTTGGGGGTTTGTTTAGGCCCGGGGCGCGAAAGCCACTCAACCCGCTAATCTATTTAGCCGTGCTGTTTGATATGGAATTAATGAGGACCCCACCATACCCCCCCTCGCCCCTCTGCATTATGTACGGGCCTGATTTTCGGTTTACCTTTCCCGTGAACAGGGGTGGGGGATGTTTGGTGGCTCGACTCCGGCAGTTGCTCTGCCTTTTGGGAAAGTACACCGGGGTGTCGGCTTTGGGTGTGGTTCTTTCGCGCAGCTGCCGGACGAATCGCGTTGCCAGCGATTATCGAGATCGAACGGTGCCACAGAGGCGTTTCATTGTTTCGCGGATCGGAAACAATCGGGTCGGCAGGTGTCCGTCAAAGCTGATGTCTGTTCCAAGGATTTAGGGGAACTCGTGCCTTAGGTTGATCTCTGCATTCGAGCTTGAAATTTCTCGACGAAACAAACCACCTAGGGTAAACGTTTAATAAGCGTGTTTACTTATAAAAAAGGATGTACTAATATATTTTTGACATCTAGGCAATAGGCGATGTTATCTTGTATTTTTGCTTTGGACGTTCTATCTTGTAGATTCATATAGCAGATGGTTGGTCGTTATGATTTTGTTGTGTAGGTTATAGGTTCGTAGTTTGGTTTTTTTCATTAGCTATTCGTGTATGAGTTTACAGCGTCCTGTTCCTTGTAGCCTTTCGTCTTCATATTATTAGTGGATCTCTAATATATTCCTTGTTTGCTATACTTTTCCCAAATTGATCAACCAACCGATACAAATAATATTCGAATAAAATTCTACAAGCGTCGTATCAGCTGAATCGAGGCGGTTGATGCAGCAAAATAGGAACCTAGCAGTCCGTCCGACACGAGAGACCGAGTGACGATTAAAACGTTGTGTCGAAGTGGATGCGAGCGCTCCGACGTCGGTCGTCGTCAGCGAATTCTCGACGCGTCGTCGGTAGCCTTCTCGTGAGCAAACTTTGGCTATGTTAATGCCGCTGGTGTGTACCCAGCTCCGGCCGAGTGAGACGTTAACGCGTGTTGTCCGACCGGCAGAATGTACGCAAACGCAAAAACACACCATCGACGACGAGTTTTCCGATTTTGTAATCGGCTAACGGCGCGACCCGGCGTCGTTGAACGCGAACACGATGTCGAACATAAATCTGGGGGGGGGGACCGAACGGGTCGAGAGGTTGAGGTAAATATTAAGCCCGCGATGTGGAAGAAAAAAAGAAAAAAAACATCACCGAGAATGTAGTTAACGTGTAACGCGAGAAGGCAAAGAGGGAGAGAGTGGGTGACCTGGAACATAAGCGTAGCCAGGGTTGTTTGCTCAGGTTCCGTGGTCGCCGTGAGTTTGAAGCAAACAGTGTTAATGTACGCCTCTATTTAAAATAATTCTGTTGAACGTCTCGGCGTGTCTCGTTCCCCTCCTTGGCGGTGCGCGCGAATTAGCCTACTCTTTCGACGCCCGTTTTATACTGACATTACGTAATGGGAGTACCTCGAGCCGGAGAAGTGCTTCGTGTTTAGACGATAGACCGACGAACAAAACCGTACAAGTGTTATGCTGTTGTTGTATCACCGATGACGCGACGCTGTATCATTTAGTTCACACAGTATTACGTGATTTTTAAGCCCGAGGCCCCTTTCGACAAATTTATTCTTCCGGTCTTTGGTGTAATCTTCGAAAGCGGGTTCTTTTAATAAGTCGTGTCGGATAGCGATCGAGGACCAACTCGAGGGTGCAGAAGATACATGAAAATGGTCGATGCGTTGCTTAACACGTTGACCCCTCAAATTGTCTGCGAAAACGATACTTTGCTTTTGACAATTGGAAACTAGCATACCCACGATTTATACCCAGATTTATTTTCATTAACATTTAATCCTTTAGCTCCTTTGTGAGAATTGTGTTGATAAAGTTTCCTATATTTCAGCAAAGTTGCCGGTGGTTTGTCGACGTTTTGCGCTGACGGATTCGTTCGATTGCGTGTTTCAGTGCCCTGTGACAGTGAGCTCGTCGTTGGCGTCGTCCTCGGCCTCGCCGGTATCCGGTGCGATACTGAGTGCAAGCGGTTCGTCGCTGGTCAGCGTAGCAGGCACAACCACGAATCATCCCCTGGGCGTAGCTGCCGGTTTGTCGAACGCGAGGATGGCGGTGACCAGCGCGGTGGTTCGGCCGCCAGGCAGCCCGACCACCTCGGTCAGCCCGTCCCAAGGACACCCGCCGCCGACGACCGGCGGCCCAACGCCGACCGGAAGGTGTTGCGACACCGGAAGACCGATCTTCACGGACCCGTTGACGGGCCAGACCGTCTGCTCCTGCCAATACGAGCTGCTCGGCGGTTATCAACGGCTCGGAGCCCTACCGACGGCCGCGCTATCCATGTACAGCGCGCCGTATGCGGCTGCGGCCGCGGCCGCCGCCTCCGAGGGCATGGCCGCGTACTTCCCGAGCCTGGGGGCCGAACAAGCTCCATTTTACACGCCTACGGTAAGTCACGTCGGAATCGAATCGATTAAAACCTAAATAAATACTCCGAAAACACGTGTGGATTCGTCGGTTACATCGGAACTGCTCCCAACAGGAGCTACCCCCCAATGTCTGGGGAATTTGTCGAACAATATCTCAAATAAATAAGACAGGAAATTTGTATGGGTGATAGAATCGTCACAATATAAAATGAACAGACAAATTGCGATTAGAAAGGGTGCAACAAAGATTCTTGAGACCTGCAACCCGCAAGACGGCTACCCTTCGTCTTCTACGAACCGCAAGTTGCGCTTAATTTAAAAATCCTCGAGGTAGATTAGCAGCTGATCTTGCACTCTTATTTAGAATAATAAATTACTCGCGCAAGTGGGCACCCCTTTCGGAATTAATTACATTTTATATTCCATCCAGATCGTTCAGGTTGCCAGTGTTCTACGATACCTTTATCCCATTGCGGATGTTGCGGTACAATTAATCGCGTTATCATATCTGCAAACCAGCACGATAATTGTTTAAATTCCTTTCTAAATCATTATTGTATCAAAGCTTCGAACTAAATTGAGTCTACCTACTGTAACGCGCGGTAAGAGTACATTTTTTCAAAATTCCCCGACCACTGCATCCAATATTATATCCGATGAGGAAATGGAAGGAATCCTGCCACGCCCATTGTTGGAAAAATTCCAAGATCGCTGGTACTACCAAGGAAAATCGAGACTAATCGATCCCGCGATACGATAAGTAGCAATTTAAAATGGAGGATCCCGGGTACGCGTGAAATTTCCCGATTTTCCATTGGACTCGAAGCAACGGGACGATAACGTTGATGGTGTATTTACTTCCGAACGACCGCGATACAGATAATTTGAACGAGCACAGAATTGATTTCCAAAATTAATGGCGACCGATGAATAACCCGACGCGGAGAATCGCCGCAGCACGTGCATTATTTCCCAACTAAGCTCTCTATCTACCGGATCTTCACAGCATATTCCTCCCGATTCGCCGTGCTATGTTTAATTATGCTATCACGGCTCGTCCGAGCGTTATACCGCGTAATAAACGTCAGCGTAATACATTGCGCGCGCGCGCAAGCGCACTCTTCTTCGGTGTTTCGTTCGTTCCTCGACAATTTTAAAAGTTATTTTTATTGCATCCACCTTCTCGCGACGAATCTCGATCAACTTTTCGCGTTTCGCTCCAAAATTAAAAAATATTCGATAGCAAACCGTACTTGGACTTTTAAACGATCAACGATCGAAGTATTCAAATTTTTCCGCCGCAAAGAGTTAAAATGGCCCGCGGGATCTTCGGTTATCTCGGAGTCGCGCGTTTCATCGTCGCGATAAGGGGACGATCGTCGATCGGCCAACGTCTCCCGTCGTTGTTCTAAGCGGATATCGAAGTCGCGAAATTCGCGTCGCTCGGTTCTTTCCGCGTGGTTGCGATGCATTATACAATAATCGAGATGTTATCGCGAGCGAAGGTCCCGGACAGTGATGTTAATACACCCCGAGAGAGGAGGAAGAAGCCAACGGGTTACGGGGGATCTCGTGTATTCGTCCGTAGTCGGTGAGGTTATCGGACCACACACAAAGCGCATACACGAAGAAAATAGCCGCGAAGCGTAAATTTATGAATCCGTCCCGCGGTAACAGTGGGACACTGTCGTGTTCGAGCCGTCGCCGAGGCTGGCCTGTTATCGTCGCTCTTTATGATCGAGCTTAAGGGGCCTAGTGTATGGCGTTGCCTCCTCGTAACGAGGCAGCAGATTGCGCAGGTTGTCTCCGGCGTCGAGTACCTTCGTAGGTATTCGCGTAGAAAGTCATTAAGTATCGTTTTTAGTGGCTACGTTTATGCCCGACCCCCCACGATTCGCGCCGCCTACCCGAAAAATCGTTTCCCCGTTCTTGTTTACGCTTCCGTTCGACCGACTACGAACCTCCATTTTGGTCCTTACGCAATTCCTTTTCTCGATTTTAGCAGTGCATTACAAGCTATTTAGTCTCCTATTTATCGAAAGCAAATTGTACATATCGATGAGAAGGATCGAAAAGGTTAAAGGAAGTACCGGATTCGGAAATTTTAAATCAGCCCGCTCGGCGGTTACGACGACGAAGCACGAGCCGCGATTTTACAACTAAATCGCGACATTAGAGCCGAGAATTTGTTTCACCGCGAGCCCTCGGACGGAGCTTGCAATTAAACCGCGCGATTTTCTCTCTCTCTCTCTCTTTTTTTTCCTCTGCAAATATTCGAATCCCTTCGGCAGAAAACCTGGACCGCGCGCGATCAATTACACCTCGAACACGGTTGCAACGTTAAACGCCAAATAATTTTCCCGAATGTCCCGGAACGCTTTACATTTTCCCGGAGAATTTTATTCCGCGCATTACTCTCCTCCGCTATCGAGGTAAATCCGTGCATTTCCCCTCGAACGGGCGTCGCGCAACGTCCACTATTTTCGGCTGCTAATTACAGTCGGGCCAACGATGACTGCGCGATTCGAACACGGTGTATAATTAATGCCATTAATGCAAGACTAATGCATATAGAAGAGGCGAGAGAGAACGATACGGGGGAACGGGGTGAATGGGGGACGGGCTCGGGTTCTATGGTTCTATTATTCCAACGGTTGATGGAAGTTTAAACGGTGCTATACGGAGTCGTACTGCCGGGGTTACGGGTTAGAGAAACAAACAAGACCCGTCGCACATCGATTCCAATTATTATTATCGCCGTTTTGCCAGCCATTTTTCTCATTATCGTCGATGAATTATAAAGATTCGGCCGGGCAGACCGATATGCCGATTAATCGCGTCCTTCGAAAAATGGAGTTTTCCGTCCCTCGACGACTGCGGGGCCAGAGATTGGCCGCCATGTTTGCTTTTAGACGGCGGGGAACGTTAATTAAAAATTTCATTCGACCGCGTCGACGCGATAACTAATTTTCAGGGCACAACCGACTCGAACAAATTTACGATTTTCCTATTTTTTAGCGATCGTTGGTTTAATAACAGCACCGTACCCAATATGGATATTATTCGTATCGTATATGATTTCTCTTTTTATTACGGTCGCTCCGGAGGACAGTTTTTATTCGTGCCGCGATTAAACGACCGATCAGCAGTTTTAAACGACTCCCAATATATCGTACATCGAGGAATTCCTGTCCTTCTCGTACACGACCGCGCTAATTACTCGCGCAAGACGCTGTTACCCTATTAACAAGTATAATTAACAAGCATAATCTCGGTTGCAGGCTGCTGGCCTCGATCTGAAGGAAAATCTTGGGGCTGGAGCTGCAGCAGCGTGGCCTTATCCATCCGTGTATCATCCTTACGACGCCGCTTTCGCCAGCTATCCCTTCAATGGGTGAGTTTTGAAAACATTTTTTGAATTCTCTACGTCGAACAAACAAACGACAGTCGAAGACGATGGAAAATTTAGCAAACGAATCATCGATATATTTTAACACCATGATTTTCGGTAAAAATCTTATGTACCTTTCCAAAGGGAAACTCGAGGCATCAAATGTGTCTTTGGGTATGTTATTGACGTTTGATGGGGTTTGAATACTCTCGCGAGCCATTATTCGTACGAAACGTAAGATTTTTGTTATTTATAACAAGAATACCTTTCCAAAAGCGAAGCTCGAGGGATCGAACGGCTCCGGATGGAGCGTCGTTGGAGCAGAATTAGTCATCGCGATGTGACATCGCGCGGAAAGTTTTTCTCGTTGATTTTGCAATTATCTCTCGGCTCTACCACACACGCCGAATCCACGCTCCTGTTTTCACGGACCAAAGACCCGTGCAGCAACAACGGAACGGGTCCCCTTCTACCAGCGTACGTGGCTCTGTGTTTCTCGATCGGGTCGTGGTCGATGTGCCCGCGCTACACGGCCAGATAACGAGCGAGAGCAACACATAAACATTCCAATAAATTAGCGCTCCGTTGACCCGGGACTGTCGCCTTGGGCGTTTTTATTCTCGCGCTACGCGTTGGAATCGGTCAACGCGTGTCACGATGCGATCGGTGAAAGGTCTCGCCAGTTTTTGATAAATCGTGAATCGTATATCGGTCGCGGTCGAGATTGTGGATTCGGAGCGCGGGATGGAAGGTGGGAAAGCGCTCTTCCACACGGACCTCGCGATAATTAGTCACCCTATCAGCGTTTCCGTCTTTTCGGCCCGACGTTCGACATTTTCAATTTTTTCCCCCTTCTCCCATCTCTGGTTTTTTTTTCTCTTCTCGGTCGTCGAGCTCTCGTTATCAGCCTCGCTCGCACGTCTAGGAGAGCCGAACTGTCGCTCGAAACGATTTGTAACCGCGCTTTTACGACTTGTTAACGAGATCGTGGATTGTAAACAATTACAGAGCCGGGGAAACGGTTCGAACGATGAAGATTTTTCCCGTACCCGGGGGATGGACGAAATTGCCATTTATTGAAGATTAAAATTGAACAATGGAACCCATCCGTTCGACAGAAATTTTACTTATCTCCTGTCGCATACGTTCTATTAGAAAGGGACAACGAATTCAGCGTAAGCACGTGTAACGTAACTCACCTTTCGCGAGCTGTTTAAAACGTAATTATGCGATACCGTAAATTCCAATGGACAGCGAAATATCGATGCAGCTGTAAATATGCCAACAGGTATATATTTACGTCGAGTTAACGATGTAATAACAACTTGGACGTGACTGCAGAGATAGAACTCGAGGTCTCTTTATTTACACGTTCGATATTTTTAAAACTATAAACTTGAATTTTTAAATTCCCTTTCAAGCTCTTTGGACGCTTGTACCCCCCAAAAAATATACTCCAACATTTGTTAAACTTTGGTGATTGATGTATCAATAGAAACGAATGTTATATCTGCAATTTTGGATGTGTTCAAAATAATCAGCCGATTTCTTACTTCGTCTAAGAGAGTTTATAAATAAAATTCTTTAGTCTTTGAAAAGATTAATAGTTCTCGCTCTAAACTAAGATTTTTTATTCCCTTTTTCTGGAAAACTGAATATAAAAAGTTTAAGTCGCGGGTCGTATAATTACTTTTCAACAATGAAAAATATTTTAAAGACTACTCTTTAGTCGTACGAACACCAGTAATTACACCTCTGTGTTACAAGAAAACATATGCAGAAATGATAAGGAAACGGCAATTTACATGGATATAAGCTAAATGGTACATTTATGTTAAAAGAAACGTGGTTATATTAGCAACAAAATTGTTTCCTCGAATGACAGTATTTCACTTCCTTCAAAGATATTCAGCAACGTTTAGCTAACACACGTAAGATCAAAATTTACGATACCTCAACGTTGGTTACAGAAATTTAAGAAATACGTAAAATAGTCGATCGTGATCCTACAAATTCGATGTTCCCCGTCGTATCCTTGTAACGAACTCCAATATTGCGTATTTAAAACTCATTTTTCGTCACAGACAATCTACAACCGATTGCACGAATCCGAATATGAGCTACTCGCTGCTGCAAACGAGCTTTGTAATCTTCACTCCCGAATTTCGTAAACATACTACACGATCTCCTCGCGAGTAAATCGCTCTCGGTGTACAAAGTGTACTCTCGATTATTTTCCTCCGAACAAACACGATTAAACCGATTTAAAGAAATGTCCAATTTGTTCGTAAATATTCGTATAATACGATCCGTTTTTTCTAATATTCGTTATCTGGTCCGGCGAAACACGACTCGTGGATCACGTATGCGACCCGGTGGTCGTCGACGTCGACGTCGTCGGTCACCTCGTGGAATCTACGGTGCCGCGTGACGCACTTCCGGCGGAGACTGCTTCGTATGCAAGGAAGCGATCGGGTACTACAGCTTGCTTAGCATCCATTCGGTCTAGTCGCTTCGCGTACCGGGTCTTCCTTTACGGAGACCTACCGCCGGTCCAAACCGGAACCTCCACTCCGACGGCCCGGCAACAATTACCGGAAGATCGAGGATGCACCTGCGGGGCTCGAAATCCGCCCGTTGTATCGACCCATCCGCGCGAAACATCTTTCTCTAAACGACTTCTTGGAAATCATAATCGACATCGAATCGTCTCGAAAAATACCGCCATTTTTCTATTCGAGGGAAAATGTAAAGTTGAAAAAATGTAGCGACCGTACCAGATTCCAAGGCAAGGACGATTCGATTATGTTAATACGAACCTCGACGATTAGAGGAGTCCATATATCAAGTTTCCCCACGCAATTAATTCAACCGATTTTTTTTCTCAATCGATCGTTGCATGGACTCTGGTAATTAATTATCTCCTCACCCTAACTTCGCGGAAAATTGCGAACGAAGTCCGGCACGCAACCAGGTCTCCAAACTAATTCAAACGTTTAACCGTAGGACGATTTCTAGCCTCTCGATTCCATACGCGCGTATATCTAAATTAACCGCCGTTCGTTTCCATTTGCGTTTTCTTTTTCTGCACGCGTTACAGAAGTTTCGAACGGCCTCGTGCGTGCAAATCGTCCGCGGGGAACTCGAATAATTTCCAACGGCGCGAAACGTCTTATCGCTACAGCAACAAACCTAGTAATTAACATCTTTGGCGCAAAGTGGTTTCCAAGCGTTCGAGCGAAACTGCTCGTTTTCACGTTTTCGTAGAAAATATCGAGGCGATGGGAGATTATCGAACAACGATTTATGATCAACGAGAGGAACTGCGCTCTGAAATAATTCGATTCGAATAATTCGCGCGCGATATCGCGATGCTAACGAAACCGCATTGTATTTACACATTGTGTTTACAAGATAAGCAACGTCTTTTTCTTCCCTTTCGCGAATCGTTTGCACGCGCGACTATTATTTGTCGCGGCTGCTCGATACGTTATCAAAGCTTTCTCCCGGCGAATAATATAAATCCGCTGCTCGAGATACGCGAGCTTTTTAACCCTCTGCACTCCATTGGCGCCGACACGACTACATTCGTGGCGAGCACCGGAATTCAGTCCAGGTTTATGATAAAGCCAAATAGTAGTCACAACACAGACGAGGTATACGAGTAGTATAAAACAAATTTTTAAGAAAAATCGACAGGGGATAGGTGCCCAAATTTTTCGTCGAAAAAAATAATTTCAAATCGTTCTAAAAAAAATATTTTCGGTTCCGGAGGTCTATTACAATCATTTTTGGTGAACAGACATACCCTCAAAATCCTACGCATTTTCGAGAAAAAAATTCCGAATGGTGGGCAAATTTTTAGCAAAATTCAAACATTTCAAATCGTTCTGGAAAAATTATTGCTGGTCGCAGGGGTCTATTACAATCATTTTTGGTGAATAGACATACCCTCAAAATCCTACGCACTTTCGAGAAAAAAATTCCGAATGGTGGACAAATTTTTAGCAAAATTCAAGAATTTCAAATCGTTCTGGAAAAATTATTTTTGGTTGCAGGGGTCAATTGCAAACATTTTTGGTGAATAGACATACTCCCGAAATCCTATGCACGTTCGAGAAAAAAATTCATTTGATGTGAGGCCAGAAATGTTTCCACGAATTTTCATGCGCATGTTTAGAACATCATAACTTCTGAATAAAATGGCGGCCGTGAAATTTCGTTCCCCTCTGTTACGCACTATAACTGTTAAAGTATATGCCGGGGGCTAGTCTGGTAAGAAAAGCTGATGAATGAAGGGGAAATAGATCCGAAAGCAGCGATAGCGGCGCGGATAATCGACGAGGTGTGTGCCCAAGGATCCGTGTGGAGCATTATGCTCGGGCGTGCGCGGCGTTCGCTTAACATAAGCATACAAAAAGCCAATAATGCAGAGTTGGCATGCACGGCCGCGAGGTCTCGGGATCGTGCGGGTTAACGGTCTCGTCTTTCCGGCGGATTGGCCCTGCTTCCGGGGACATATAGGGTAAACAATAAAGAAACAACCAGGCCCTGGGTGTATCGGAATCGCTCGTTGTACGAACACAGGGCCGCATACGTGTACTCGTCGAGCTGTGTCCGGCTTACGGCTTCCTTCGATCGCCGACACGTATTATTAAGTGTGTCCGTACAACGACCGATGTGTCGGCACGCGCTCACGGGGCCCGAGCGCGTTTAAGGACGTCGTGACGATCCGCGAATCTTAATCGCGACGCATCGGTTCTCTGGCCGCCTGTGCGACCAACGCACACCTGTGCGTCCAAGCGACACGTCGCGACGATCGACGGGGGGATCGGGGGAGGGCTTCGATCCGGAGTTATGTTAGAGATTTTTCGTCCGGATGCATAAATCGTTGGCTTCGAGCGCGATGTAAATTTAACTCCATGGGTAAACGATACGTGGATGTTCGTTGTGTAAAGAAAATAGCAAAATAGTGTTTGGGGCTTGGGAGTCTGCTAGTAGGA